AAAAAAAAAGCACTGCACGCGTGCGTAAGTGTAGTACGACTGTGTCTTAATAATCACGTTTTTCTCACGACTAATACTAATAATTTAGCTGACTTGTATGCAATTAAAATTCTAGAGTAACACTAACTATTTATTTGCCGTAGGTTTGGGTCTCTGTGCCTACTCGTAAGGCAAAACCGTCCAATCGTTGACAAATGTGTGCTGCTAGTACTGTACTACCAAAGTTCATCACCCACATTTTTGATGTGTACACAATATTAATAATATGAATTTCATCAAAGGGTAATCCTAGCATTCCAAATGTAAGGTAACCAAATTTCTCAGGTATGAAATTATGTTTATTATAACAGACATTCAGTGAAAATTTCTGCCATTTTTTTGTATCAGTTAACCCTTTAAAAAAACGTCTAACTATCACTTACGAGTCACGTCCAAATCGATGTAAGAAAGCAATGATGATACAACACCATTCTATTTGGATGATTTGTACTTCTGGTTGTATTAGTAGATCACCTTTGTAAGACATGACCCCCACCCTCCCCCCTCCCCCCCACACGTGACTCCGAGATGTTTTGCAGCAGTGCATTTCTGACTGACAGTCTTATCTGAGGGCAAACAATTATCTCTAAATCAAAAATAACAGCATAAATATATAAGGGAGAGGTTCCCGTGCGTGCGTGTGCAGAAAAACCCATTGACTCCCTACCTCCAACCACAATGCGCTCATTGTGTTTCATTCTCCCAAAAGACGACAAACGTGAAGCGAGTTGGTTCAGATGACTTTTTTACAATAGACAAGCATGTCGGAATTAAGAGGCGTGCGACTTCAATGTTGTGGTACCACGTTGCACCACAACAATGCACTGAATGACCAGATACTCGAAACGCGACCTGTTAGAAAAGTGATCAGAGTAAGTCAGTACCGCGCAGTGTCTCCTAATAATCATCATCATCATCAAAATAATGCGTACTCGACGTTGCGGCTCAGCCACTTTTAACGCTTCCGTCACCCGTCCGCTGCACGCGGGCCGCTATCATCTCCTTGGATGCCGACCGGCGCTCGCAGGCCAGGCGCAGGAAGCACATGAGGTCGATGAAGGCGGTGGTGAGGTTGAGCCTGCAGCCGAATTCGCTGGTGGCGTAGTCGAAGGGGAACGTGTGGTGGTAGTTGTGGAAGCCTTCGCCTGGCAAAGGGACAACGAGAGTCAAGAACGCCGACTCGGTGTGGAGACGTTCACAACAAGCAGTACAGTACAGTCTTTCACTACGATGTATATGTAGGAATACAAAC